CTTTAACCTGTTCTACACCGCCCCCCCCGATACCGGGGGGAAAAACGCGTCATCTGCAGGAAACAGCGTCTGAGGGCATCTTAATATTCAATGAACTATGAATGTTTTATATCCATGTAACGGGAAGAAACTCAGCTAACTGATCATTTTTCTTTTTTTCCCCAAAAAAACCCACAAAGCTAGCGCTGAGCCTATGAATTAGCCATGAGCGGGAAAATGCTAACGCATTACTGCACATGACATCATGCGGTACCCGGAAGACTCAAATGGACAGTGACGCATCTCCAACGAGGCGTTTTGGGGAGGTATTTTCTGTGTTAGAGTTTTACTCCCTACAGGGTGTACTTTGAGGGTTTTGACTCTGCACACCGTTTACATGCATAAAAACCTTCATAACACACAAGGGGACGGGTAATAACTGGAAAAGCATGACATGGGCCCTTTAAGGCTCTGCAAGACTACAGTTTCTTCCTTAGAGCATGTGCAAACGCAATGGAAGAGGTGCAGTATTTGCATGAGCTTGACATGGCTGCGAATATGATGATCATAATAAGAAAGTTACCTTACCAATTCAGAGACAAGTAGAGAACTTTAGCCTGTGAGCTGCAGGAGAGGAACAGCCGCAGAGCAACATTCTTTGACATCACACATTTCATTGAGAGACAAGTTAAAATCTTAACCGACCCAGTATTTGGAAACATTCAAGATGCTCCCTTCATAACAACAAATACTGGTTTAAACAGATCACAGACTCGCTCACATTTTGTAGGAACTAGCTTTGCCACCACTGTAGCCCTTGTAGAAAATGAAACCCAGACAGATACTGAATGGAAGGAACATATTCTGACAAAATGGAGGACATGTCTGTGCTGCTGCGGAGGAGGTCACACCTTGGACTCGTGCCATCAGCTTGAAAAAGGAACACACAAAGAGAAGATAGGCACCTTTTTCCATCAGGAAGCCTGTTTCGGCTGTTTGTGTGTGGGACACATTAGCCTGTTCAAAATGTGGGTTCAAACATCCAACCATACTTCACATCCCTTCCAAAGAAGCAAGACACAATCCTGCTCAAGCCAAGAATACATCAGAGTTATCAGTAGACAGCACACTGGTTTCAAGTGGCCTTACCGGGGCTGGTGATGACAACTGTAAACTTCCCATTGTTCCAGTGCAAGTCAATTCAACGAAAGGCAGCAAGATTGTCACCACCTATGCTTTCTTGGAACCAGGAAGTACAGCAGTGTTTTGTATAGAGGATCTGATGCACGAGCTCGGCCTAAGTGGAAAGAAGGCACAGATTCTTTTACGAACCATGGGCCAAGAGAGGCTCGTAAATGTCTGTGAACTGCCACAAAGCTACACCCAAGAGTGCATGCCTGCCAGCAGTGGGAACATTCCTAGACAAGCAGACCTACAGAGATGGCCTCATCTAAAAAACGTTGATTTGCCTGAAATAAATGCAGGGATTGGACTGTTGATAGGAACCAATGTTCCTAAGGCCTTTGAACCATTGGAAGTCATATGCAGTGTGGATGATGGACCCTATGCAAGCAGGACAATCCTAGGCTGGACAGTGAATGGACCACTTAAAGGAGTGAGTGGGAATGCAATGAACTTTGACAAACCAGAAGTATCTGTGAACAGAATATCAGTTGTGAATTTAGATGAACCTTGGCAACAGCAGCTCAGCACAGACTTCCCTGAATGCACAAGCTGGAATGTCAAGAGAGGATCTCAAGTTTATGAAGTTTGCGTAGAAAGTGTTTTCTCAGCAAGAGCCGAAGAAGAAGTGTAAAAAGAAAAGTTTTAAAGATGAGAAGAACCCTCATCTCAAATCCCAACAAAAGCCCTCTCCTTCAACGGCTGCTCAGAAAGGCGCCCGCTGCAAGCAAAAGAAATGTAACAGCCATCGTGTTCAACAAGGTGGAGACCGTGGAGAACAAGATGAAGTGGACCAACGTGCTCTACAAGGCCGAAGGACTCAAAATCAAAGACGATGAGGCCATGCTGCACTCCTCGTTAAAGAAGGAGTGGGGCGATCAAAGCGAGAATATCGTGAAGAAGCAGAAACGGCAGGAAGAGACTGAAGAACATCCGACATCTTTACCACAATATTGACTCTTTTCGACTGACAGACTTAAAGGGCACTAACGATTATTTTTGACTGAGCCTAGGTGGTGGTACCTTTTGGCCCAACTGACTTATGACTCGTATAAAGAAAGAAGAAGGAAAACTACACATGCATGAACTGCAACTGTATGGACTTGATTACTAAGCTATAATTGTCACATGTCTCCCATTTTAATAATGTTAGTAATTATTATGTATACTAACCTAATAATTAGAGGCTGGTGTGTAGGAGCCATGAAACGTATATAGCAATGCGTTTTGTTTTGATATAGGATGTATGTTTGGTCACTGTTGATAGGTTGGCTTGGGTCACATGGATATGGGCGGCACTCATTATAATCCTGTTCACCTACGTGAGGTGTGTGTGTGGAAGAGAGGGTGACACAGGGCCGTTGTATTTTTTGTTGACCGCACGTTTTAATGATTGCTTTGATTAATATAACAATGTACATGTCCAAGGATAATAAGTTGATCATCCCAGTTTTCATTAAACCACATTATTTTTCAACAGAGTTTTTGATCTCAGCAAGTACTTTTTTGTAGCGTGTCACACAATATCTAACAGGCCCGGCCTCAGCCTCTCAGCGACTTTGTTTGTTTCCTGCTGTCGCTATAGCGGCTTCACAAAACCTTTTGGGAGTTTTACGGGGCGTGGTTTGCATTCCGCCCAGCCAATCAGAAATAGGAACCTTTTTCTCCCACGAAAGTCCCTGCTCTCTAGCAGGGACGGAAAAGGGGGTAAAAAGGTTCTGATTAACTCATTTTAGTTCCGGATTTTTTTTTGGTGTGAACGCGACATTTCGGAACTATATCGGAACTAAAGTGGGAAAAGTACTGCGGTGTGAAAACGCCTTTAGTCGCATATTGACTGGCTAATGTGCCATTTGATTTGTGTTTTACAGCTGTATTTGTCTGCCTGTCATGTCTGTGTTTTATCTGTTGTAACTTCGTACATGCTGCATATATATATATATATATATATATATATATATATATATATATATATATATATATATATATATATATATATATATATATATATATATATATATATATATATATATATATATATATATATATATATATATATCCTTTATTTAAACAGGTAAAAGACTCATTGAGATTAAAATCTCATATATATCTTAATCTTTATATATATTTATATATATATATAAATATATATATAATCTTTATATATATATAAAAACTATATATATATATATAGTTAAAACATTTTGAAAAATTGCAGAGCTCAAATAATAGCATGTCGATATTTTCAAACTGTACGGTATCTCTGACGAAATCATCAAAGCCACACAGGTCCTACACACCCACACAAAGACCGGGAAGCATCTCCAGATGGAGAGACGGTCATTTTACGAGATACACTTGCGTCATTGTTGTCACAGCTATGTTCTTTGTCTGTCATTGGATGCTAACAACAACACGTGACTACGGATCAAGCAACAACCAGGCACTCGTAGCTCTGAATACCAGCGATGCACATCATGGATCTAGACTTTGATGTGTACCTAGCATCTCTTCTTCCAGCGTCAGAGACGCTGAAGCCCACCAAAATGATGTTGCTTTCTTGGGCTTTACTGCAACACATGGAAAACTGAGTAGAATCTCAAATGGCACAGACCTAACCATGTATGCAATAAATGGATCTTGGGATCAAACCTGGGATCAGTCATCATTGACTCCTGGAAAGACTTGAAAGGCTAAAGCCTGGGTGGCTTGAAATTAATTGGAAAATGAAACTCGATCTGTTCAGGATTATCTTCATGTATGGCTCTGAGACCTGGACCCGCAAGGCTCAAATCCCTAATTGTCTAAATTGGTGCCATATTATCCTCCTTTGTAGGGTACAACATCTATCTTGGAAGAACCATCTAAAGGTACAGCAGATGTATGGCAACATCTGGCTCAGCAGGCGCCTAATTCAATGGCAGTCAGGATTTGCTGGTCACTTTTTCTGCACCAAATGTGAACGTATTTTAGATCTGATCCCGTGGAATCCTTCAAGGGGTCTGAAGCTAACCTTCACAGATCTCCTGGATCCACTGGTATCAGTCTGGAAATCTTGTGCCAGCCATGAGCAACCAGAAATGCTGAATGACTGTAGTGCGAGGTCTCTCGACTAAGGTTGCATGATGATGATGATGATGATGATGATGGTGACGATGATGATGATGATGATGATGACAGAAGTCAGAAGAAGAACGTAATCCCTCTCTATAATGGTGAATGGGAATGTCACGTGACGTTATCAACAGAAATTGTTCCGTCTTTGGAAGATAACAGCAACCGCAATCTATTGACTTCACCTGTTCAGCGAGCGGAGTAGACCTAACCTTTTCACTTTAAACTTTTAAACTTGTTCGGGAGGCACTGTGATGTCACTGTAACAGCCACTCATATGACCAACGAACAAAACAAACAAAGGACAATGGGATTATATATTATTCTTTTAAACCAACATGGAAACGAGGGAGATGTAGACACATCAGCAAGAGACGCTGAATGTGCTGAACTACAGGAACACAAAGCACTACACTGGGAATATAAGGTTGCATGATGATGAATACAATTTAAAGCAGGAAATATTTCAGTACAAGTACACATAGTGGAGGATTAATTATGCATGATATGCTGACGCTTTTTTAGGACTCAGTTAGTATTACATTAGCTGTTTTACCTCTGTCCGGAGGATTCTATAGTTCGGAAACACCGATATATATTGACGGCTGCTGCTGTTGCTATGGATGCTATCCTCTAAAGATGGCCGCGACGCCCCAGAATGCACCACGGTCCCATTGCCTATACACATGCTACAGAAGAAGCTAGCAGCCGCAGTGAATCCTCACTTGTGGAGCTCCCTCTGCAGGTCCTGCATGTAGTGGTGACACTGGGCGTAGTAGGTGGCCTGAGCCTCGGCAAAATCCTGTAAACAGCGCAGGTGGTTGAGCTGAGGAGAGAGAGAGAGAGAGAGAGAGAGAGAGGAGACAAATCAGTCCCCAGCAGAACACAACCAAACTAACAGCGGACATTATACTCGGCTCAACATATGTGCTAATGAAAACTCTTGATGATATGTCGGTTTAACTACCCATATGTGTGTAGGTGTATTCTATTAGGTTTGATCCACAGTAAATCTATTAATGTCAATTTCAGAGATCCAACTGAGTGTGTCTTGTTTCATGGATGTGTTTTAATCTGAAAGCATGTGAAGGTGAAGCCTGATGACTCGACAGCTGTGTGTGCAGCAGTGGTACAGAGATCACATCTCTTCACCCACAACAGCAATTTAACTCAAAGTGCTGGCAGCACTGATCGATTATTACTGTAACTGTCCAGGTCTGATCACGGTTTCTGTTCCATTAGAGTCCTGCAATGCCAGAGCCCATGCTGTGCATAGATGTATAATAAGAACTGGATACAACGTTGGAGGCAGGGTCTCGTTCATTCCTATGAGAGCTGCTCATTGACGCATGAGGACAAAATGGCCTGACATTTTCGAGAGCAAAACGTCACAGATTACCCATCATGCCTAGCTGTCAGACAGCGACGTGCAGTCAGGGGAGGCAGGGGAGGCAGAGCCTCACCTGTCATACTCCAATGTAACGGAAAAACAATTAAAGAAAAACTAAATAATAATAATAATAAAATGTCTCCACTGATCTTGTGTAAATGTGATTTATGTATGATTCCAATCGCTTTTTATAGTGAAAATCAGCAAATTTGCCGAGCTCCGCTACGGGAGCGATGACAAGTGAGGCAGGGACGAGCTCTGCCTCACGTAAGCCCACAGTAACTTGCTGGAGCGCGGGCACTAATTTAGCGCGGGCACTTATTTTGTGAGCGCGCTCAAGCCATTTACTGTGGGGTAAGGTGAGGCACAGATGAGCTCTGCCTCACCTCAGAATGCGTCACCCCACAGAAACTGTCTGGAAAGCGGGCCCTAAGCGCATGCCTGTTACCATCTCACTGTATGTCACCAATGTAATGTTTGTAGATCCCTTTATTACATTTATCCTCACCATCCATAGTCTCTAAATAACTTATTTCACGTATATATGATATTTAGGCTCGCTGGTCTCATCGTACAACGGCAATGAAAAAAGCACCAGGAGAGGCAGCCATAACCTCTGCCGCACTGAAGGGGGCGCACGTGAGCCGACAGGTTCTTGTTGCTACTATTCTACGCAGAGACGGTAGATCTGCAAACAACAAACTAGACTTTTGAAACTACAGGAAGATAAGGAGGACTTTTACAAAACAGTAATAGAGATTGTTGTCCAGAAGGATAGCATGGACTTCATCTTCAAGTCAAGGTAAGACCACAACTGTAATGAAAATGGGATCTTACTAAGAAAGAACAATCCAATATTTAGATTTTGGGTATCCTTTTGTTGAACGGTCTGTTTAAAATTAATCATAGCATCAGACTAAAAAAGCTTTTGAAAATAACAGAATATTTCAATTAAGGTCAAAATATAATATTTGTAAATCTGAGTGCTTCACCAGCCATGAACCTCACCGCACGTCACTGCTGTCAGAGCAGAAGTACCGGTATGTGCGCTCATAGAGCATGCCCAGTAGAGTTTCCCCTTAAACCCCGCCCCCCGAGAGAGAAAATAAAACTGGATTTGGCTTTTAGCGCATTTTACAACTTTAAGGACCTAATGAATCTAATAAAGGCTATAAAAGTGATAGGGTAGTTTTATTTAGTTAAAAAAAAAATCTGCTGATTTACAAACGTCTCTTTCCCAATGTTAGTGAATGGGAAAAAGTATTTCTGGGCCGGGTGACATCACGGACTGATACGGAAAGTGTAGTACCGCCGTTTGGCCATTACGAATATTTTCTTCAGAGTCTGGTGCACTTCCCGGGGGCTTGATGCTGTGTTCCCGTTAGTGTTTACTTCCTGTCTGTCTTCTTCTGATGTTCCCTTTAGTGTTTACTTCCTGTCTGTCTTCTTTGCTGTTCCCTTTAGTGTTTACTTCCTGTCCGTCTTCTTCTGCTGTTCCCTTTAGTGTTTACTTCCTGTCTGTCTTCTTCTGATGTTCCCTTTAGTGTTTACTTCCTGTCTGTCTTCTTCTGCTGCTGGTCCCTTTAGTGTTTACTTCCTGTCTCGTCTTCTTCTGTTGTTCCTGTTAGTGTTTACTTCCTGTCCGTCTTCTTCTGATGTTCCCTTAGTGTTTACTTCCTGTCCGTCTTCTTCTGCTGTTCCCTTTAGTGTTTACTTCCTGTCTATCTTCTTCTGCTGCTGCTGCTGTTCCCTTTAGTGTTTACTTCCTGTCTGTCTTCTTCTGTTGTTCCTGTTAGTGATTACTTCCTGTCCGTCTTCTTCTGCTGATCCCTTTAGTGTTTACTTCCTGTTTGTCTTCTTCTGCTGTTCCTGTTAGTGTTTACTTCCTGTGTCTTCTTCTGTTGATTTCTTTGACTTCAAACGCTTTGTCTTTTAACCTTCTTCTTTCTCTCCCTTCATTCTCCTTAGCAACGGTCATTTTTTTACTTCAACCATTGAAATTTCCAAATTGACCAATCAGAATCGGGGATTCAACTTAGTCATGTAATAAAATAATTTAAAATATAGCAGGCTTCAGTGAAGTTCTACATTTCCAATGCTTAGCGTTATGAGCGGTTGATGACTGTAACCCTGATCACTATGAGCAGTTTCCACTGTGCATTCAAACCTAAAGTGAACCCAGCACAACTTTAAAGCACATGTGCCTGTGTGAATGTCCCAAACACAAGCCTGTCCTGCGTCAGACAGAACTTAATTGAAGCCAAATCCTGATGTTTAAAAAAAGTGGTTTATTGCGTTTTTTGTTTCAATTCACAGAGGAAACCCCGGATTTAAAACTGCTCGCAGGGTTGATATATTGTGTAATATAATATTATATATTTTATTGAAAACGATATGATTTTTTTACATTTAGACCCAACATGGAGTAAATAATGTTTTACAGCATTTCTTAGAGTGCTGAGAATTCTTGTGGACAGTTAATTAATCCTTTATCTATTTACATTGTTGGGCTTAAATGTGTGGAATTGGCCTATAACTTACCTCCTATTCGTTAGGTTAGATTTTCTGTAAATTGTAGTTTCTAAGCAGTAGTGTTTTGGTGAAATATGAGGTTTGTTTGTTTGTTTGTAGCCTTTATTTAACCAGGTTAACGATCTCTTTTTCAAGGGAGACCTGCGGTACATTAGTTACACATAAAAACAACAGAAAACAAAAAGGACATCACAACATAATTACAGGGGTACAAATTAGCAACCTATTCACAGTGACAGGTATCCAATAACATTTCATCCAGCCGTGCTTTAAAATGATGCAAGGGAATCAAAATGCTCAGTTTCAATGTTTTTTGCATAGTGTTCCAAGCTAGAGGAGCAGCGCACATAAAAGCTTTAGTACCTAAAACAGTCCTAGCACTTGGCACATGTAATAAGAACACATCCTGGGATCTCAGGCAATAGCTACTTGCCACTCTCCGTGAGATCAAAGAGCATATATAAGTCGGTAGTTTACCCAGCATGGCTTTATATATGAATATGTACCAATGACTGAGCCTCCGAACAGTAAGTGAAGGCAGACCTGCCTTGGCATACAGGGTACAGTGATGAGTAAGTGCTTTACAGTTAGTAACAAATCTCAGAGCACTGTGATAGGCGGCATCTAACCTTTCCAGGCAATGGGCAGGTGCATTCATATAGATCAAATCACCATAGTCCAGCACAGGTAAAAAGTTCACAGTGACTAGCCTTTTCCTGGCTTCAAAAGAGAAACAGGACTTGTTTCTGAAAAAGAAACCTAGTCTAACCCTCAGCTTTTTAAGCAGATTAATGACCTGAAGTTTAAAGTAAGACAATCATCAAGCCAGATACCAAGGTATTTATAACAGGTAACCACTTCGAGTACTTGTCCTTGCATAGTAACAATATCCAAAGCAGTCTCTGGTGTCTTTTTAGCTTTAGAAAAGAGCATTACCTTGGTTTTATCAACATTTAAAAGAAGCTTTAGTTCAGAGAGCTGAGTCTGAATAATGATAAAAACAGCCTGTAATTTAACAACAGCCTCCTTAATGGAGGGACCTGCACAGTACATCACGGTATCATCCGCATAAAAATGTAAAGTAGCTTCATCCACATTTTCACCTAAACTATTGATGTAGATGGAGAATAAAAGTGGACCTAAAACAGAACCTTGAGGAACACCATTAGTAATGTTTAACCACTCAGAAGACAGCCCATCAAAGTGAACACATTGGGACCTTTCAGAGAGGTAGTTCACAAACCACCCCACTGCATGGCTGGATATGCCAATACTGAGTAGCCTCTGCTTTAAGATGCGATGATCGACGGTGTCAAACGCTTTGGAAAGGTCAATAAACAGAGCTGCACAACTCTACAAGTATTTTAGATAAAAAGCAATGTCATTCACCACTTTCATTGTCGCAGTGATGGTGCTATGTTGCTTTCTGAAGCCTGACTGATGTTTACATAGGATATTATTTTTACATAAAAACTCCTTTACCTGCTCACTCACTAGGCGTTCAAGAACCTTGGCCAGAACTGACAATTTAGAGATGGGCCTATAGTTATTTAAAACAGTTGCCTCCCCTCCTTTTAGTAGTGGCAGGACATACGCTGACTTCCATACTTTTGGAATTGTATTTGTGCTGAGGGAGAGGTTAAAAAGAGTAGTGAGAGGTGGAGCAATAAAATCTGCAGCTATCTTTAAAAAGAAAGGTTCTACGTTGTCCGGGCCAGCCGGTTTCTTAGGATCTAACTTAGATAATGCTTCATGAACAACATTTACAGTAAAAGGAGTAAAACTGAAAGGGTTTTCCAGACCACATTGTTCAGAGTCACAGACTGTGGTGTTCACAGAAGCAGAGTTAGTCACAGAATCAAAAATAGAACCGCAGGACACAAAATGCTCATTAAAACAATTTAGCATAGTAGCCCTGTCCGATATAGAGCCAGATGCTGTGGTAATGCACGGAGGTAGCTCATTTCGGATCTCACCGGTGGATATCGATTTTATGGCTTTCCAAAATTTCCTAGGATTATTTAGGTTTTCTGTGGTAACTGACAAATAGTACTTAGACTTAGCACTTTTGACATGTGAAGTGAAGCTATTTCTTAGCTGCCTAAAACGCAGCCATTCTACCTCTGAGCCTGATTTCCTAGCCTTTGCCCAGGCCTTGTTTCTCTCATGTAGGAGACTGGACAGTTCAGCAGAAAACCAAGGATTGTCTCGTCCCTTTACTCTAAAAGTACGTCGGGGTGCATGTCTATCTATAATTTCCATAAAACCAAGATAAAAATAAGACCATGCAGTTTCTACATCAGCACACAGATCGATTTTACCCCAATCAAACCCAAACAGATCATGAACAAAACCCTGCTCCACAAAATGTTTTATGTCCCTCTTAATGATAATACGAGGTTTAACCTTTTGGACCTTAGTGTCCCTAATTGTGGCTACAACACAGTGGTCACTCACATCATTCGCAAATACTCCCACAGATGAGTATTTATAGGGAACATTAGTTAGAATGAGATCAATTAGGGGACTTAACGTTAGGGCGAGTAGGACTGTCAACAACCTGAGTAACATTTAAAGAGATACAAAGGTTTTTAAAATCCTCTGATACTACAGTTAACCAGTCCCAGTTAAAATCTCCAAGTAGCACTATTTCCTTATAGTCTAGTTGCGATAAAAGTTTTGCTAGTGAAGACAAGGAGTCCTTGACAGCTGAGGGGGTCTGTAACAGCCCACCACCATGACTTGTTGCCCCTTTGCCACTTCTATATTTAAGGCTAAAAATTTGAATTGCTTACTGACAGATTTGGAGATCAATGTGGTTACACTGAACTTATTCTTAACACAAATGGCAACTCCACCACCTTTATTAGGCCGGTCGGTACGATATACATTATAACCATTTAAGGATATGTCAGAGGCCAAAATAGTTTTATTTAGCCATGTTTCTGATAACACAATGACGTCAGCGTCAGTCGAGCTTGCCCAAATGCGGACAAAATCTAGTTTACCTAACAGACTGCGCACATTCAAGTGGATGAAACCCAACCCAGACCTAGCTTTAAAATCAGCAGGAGTAGCGATCTGACTACTACTACTGGGCGGACCAGGGATAGGTTGAACACTTCCTGACAGTAATAACAACAACAAAACCAGGCATCTTTTCCTCTTAATCGACACGCATACATTTTCATCTACTTTAGAATCACCGGAAAAGTCTGTGAGAGTGTGATTAGAGTTTAAGAAGCAGTCCTGAAGTACCATCATCGCAGGCAAACAAAAAAGACAAACATATTTTGTCGAGCAGATTGTCTGTGACAAGGTGACCGGTAATTGTTTGTGTAACACATCCGATCCTTTGCAGGGGATGCCCACTGCGGGTGGCAGAACAGACCTGAATAGCTGTATAGCCTCAGTGATGTACATGGTTGGTCCATGAACAACAGGAGCTGATGAGGTAATGCCTAACACTCCAGCAGGCCAGAGACAATATCTCTCCAAACATCCTCCCATTTTCTCTGCTCTTCTGTATTTGGCTCATATTTCTGATAAACAGTCATTCATGTTGCTCAACCCCATGACATCACTGCTGTGTTCAGGGTTGTCTTGTGACTGTGACTAAGAGTTTTTGTCAGTGGCCCAGAGGGGATCCCTTGCACTCACATGTGTGCTGCTGATTCCCTCCAGCAGCAGCCGGGTGACCTCAGCCTGCCGGTCGAACTCCGTCTGCGCCACACGCAGATCGTGCTCCGCCTGCACACAGATGTGGAGGGGCAGGAAAGACACATTTAGAAGATTGTATAAACATATTTAACTGTATCTAGGAGCATTCAGAAACAAACAATATCCACTAGTGAAGGTACTTACTTTGTCCACTTCCTCACTCAGCAGCTGAGAGAAGCAACATGAGGACAGAAAAAAAGCAGGCATCAACACTGTCTCATTAACACTCACACTTCAATGCAGGAAATCACCAATCTGAAACTACGAGGAGCTAGATGTGGGTTAGTAAGCTCAAACTACATTCAGGATGTTCTTCAGCTAGCCTGTTACTATGACAGTTTCAACCTCAAGTTTAATGGAGGTTAACTTGATCTGAACCACTGATCCCAGGCCAGTTTGAAGCACCCATTTTAAATCAAACATTTAAAAACTGTTTATTTAATTTAATGTATTTTATTAACCTAATTATAATTCAACTTTTTATTTGACTAATTTATATTCTGTGTGCAATAGGCAAGATGCAGGAGCCACCAGTATCAGACTTTACTAATCAATGTCCTGATCATGTTTTATAGCAACTGATATGCCAGATTTAAAATGAGAGCAATCAACACATGTCTGACTTCACTTAGAATGTAACCTTCATACCAGCTTTTCTCTCATTTGGGAGATTAACTGTAACATTAACCGCAATATTCTTAAAAGCATGATACATGTTAGCGTCAGCATTAACATAATACTGGACCTTCCAAACAACAGGAGCACTATCAAATACACTCGATGAATAATCTTTGAAACTCTCTGAGACTTCATTATCTCCATGGCTAGTGATGGCTTTCCTTCCAGGTGCATTCAGGGTCTCTCAAACAACTCTGTTCATATGCATTCGATGTATTGAATACAACATATTTATGTTTGTTTTAACCTATTTTAATCAAGTGAGATTTTTCTCATTACATATGACCGTCTATCCTCTTTACTGTTTTATACTTTGTGCTGTAATTTCTGTAGGAAAGCGCTTTACAGATAAATCATTATAATTACATTTTTAAACCAGGCCCTCAAAGGTGCCTAACCAAGCATATAATGGTCATTTGGTAAAGTGTCTTTATGCCTTTTACAAAGAAGAATGTTTGCGATCTGAGAAACTGAGCTGGGCTGAAGTGTGTGTGTGTGTGTGTGTGTGTGTGTGTGTGTGTGTGTGTGTGTGTGTGTGTCAGCTGCAGCAGTTGGCCAGCAGCCTGAACCCTTGTTGACCTTTACTCTACTTTCTGCAGCTGCTCGCTCACCAATGCCTGTTGTACAGCGCCCTCCTGTGTGTAACATTTCACATTTAAACGTTATTATAATATGTTTGACCAATAGGTAAAGCATCCTAACCACAACACAGACTAAATGACAGGAGACTCACTACCACTATCACCAGGACCTAATCTGGTTCCTGCTCCCAGATGTTCCAACCTTGATCTGCTCGGCTGCAGCGGGATCCGTCTCCAGATCCCAGCTCTCCCAGCCGCTGTGCAGCTGGGTCAGTTACAGAGCAACACAGAAACGCTATAAATGTGATCACTTAAGCTGACATCACAGAGAACATCCATGTTTCACTGCACTTCTTACTTTCTCATTTTAAGTCTACATTTTCTCTCTCAAAGAAGAGCGTTTGGCTCTGTTGCTCTGAGCTTAGCTCTTGCTGAAAGTCTATGACGGCTTCAAACCTGTGTTTTAAGAAAACAAAATCACAGCATCTCCCAAACCCCAGTGCTGTGTTCTCAGAGGCTCAGCGTTAAACTGCACCCGAGGTTTGGGCTGAACCGGGCTGCTGTGTTCTGTAGAATCACCAACAATGCCACTACAGATTTTTTAAAGTATTTCCATTTTTGTATTTGTTATACTTCTACTTCATTTCCTTCACCACTTTATTTAGGTCAGTAATTCGAAGATAAGGATTTTACAAAAAATATGATACAATGTTATGGATTAAATGACAGCTCAACCTTAACCCACTAATGCCTTCAAATTCTACTTAAACTTTGCTTTTAATAAAATGTTGCTGTGAAATGTTTGGTTTTTGTGACCAGTTGGACTCATTAAGGCCATTGTTTCCCTTTATAAGTGCAACTACGGAAGTGGATTGGAGTCTTTCAGAGCCTGTCACAGTTCCAGATCATACCAGTGTAAAGCTATATGTACATTAGTAATCATAGTTTTTCTATGTCAAAAAAAGTATAAACAGCATGCAACAATATCAAAACTTGCTAAACATGCTCACTTTATTATATTTGTGTTGCAAAGGTCATGCCACAGTCTGACAAGCATAACTTGTTTAAGAATTCAAAATGCAGCCCCCACTTCAATCCATAAAGCATTCCAAATATATATCATGTGCAGTGCTCATTAGTCGCCCTCATCCCATGCAGTTTAAATATACTGGGACCCCAGCAAGGCAGCGTTACACTGGTGAGTACATGTGAAAGGATTTCAGGAGCCTTTTGCTTTATTTACATTATTTTAGTGGTTTGAGTAAGAGTACTTTTTAGAAATTCTAACAATGTATTTTTGAAAATGTATGAAACAAAAAAAAGTCTCCATACCTGTTAAATAACAAACTAACTTTCTACGAATAAATTCAAGATGTTTTTTAAGATAGACTACATACTGTACATGTTCTGAAGCCACTGTGGCCTCAGGATGCTTCCGACACAACATTCAATAGCTTTAGCCAACGAGCTGCTGGGTCAGGTGAGGCTGCAGCAGCTCTGTGCCCTGATGTGAGCTACATCATCTGTCTTTTGGAGTATGTGGTGTTCTAAGGCTCTGTGTCTGTTAGCATGTTAGCCTAGCTCCTGCTGGGTGACAGACCCTGCAGTTTGTGATGGACTCTTACCGCTGATGCACTGGCAGAAAGAACATAATTGCGAGGCCTGGTCTCCTGAAAATCAGGTGCAGCCTACAAACAAGAGCAGGGAGGAGGAGACACATGTTGGCACAGTCATGCATTACAATCATAGAGCAGAACAACAAAAACAGTTAGCCAAAAGCAAAGCAGCATGAGCAGAACACTGAGAACACGCTGTGGTGTCTCATAGCAACGCGGTGCAAATTATTTATGACTGGATCATTTATTAATTGCTGTTAAAGTATAAATAGAATGCTTTAGTAAGTTTTGCTTTAACTTGAACTTATTATCCTCACAGGATCATTTTATTAATTTGAAGCAGACTCAGTCCAGTCTGCAGCTGTGAGAGGGTCTCCATCCTTTACTGTACGCCACTCAGGATTTCACAGGTTCACTTTGAACCTGCATAGATCATCATGGTGAGCTACGCTGCTGAACACATTCTAGGTGAGAGATCCATAATGCAGTACCAGAATCTCAAGGTGTTTATTTCACTTTGGGCTTTTTCCCATTATTATGCTGACCTTTTCTTCTTCTATGGATAACCCTTACATATTTTTGACTGCTGAATATGTCAAACAATGCTTACCCTATTGAGAGAGTTCTATCACAATTCTTTTGACATTTCTGATCTTTTCCTTATTATTCTAAATCGTCTTATTTGTTTGATTATGTATACAGTTTTAGGTGGCTGAATATTATTATGCTTCATGACACCAGCGCTAATGTTAGCTCAGTGCAGCCTGTGTGTTCTGGCTACAGACACAGCATCGTGTGGTCGGTATTAAGAGGCTTTTCTTTTTGAGTTACATGCAACAATGCAGCCAGCAGAACATCTGAGAAGCTTTTATTTCCTTTTAAAGATGCTGTTTTCTCAGCACAGACATGCTATCTGAAGAAGTGCAACACAAGAGCAACACTGACTGCAGAGGTTATCGTTGAGAAAGCGAGACTTTATGATCTGACATGGAAATGCAAGTTGTTTGCTTCCTGCTATTCTGCCTGCCATGTGTGATATAGACTGTAACTCTCTTCTTTGGGCTTTTGCAGTCATGTAATGTACAGATAGCTAGCACAAGATGCAGCACATTAACAGTGTGCTTTCATAAAAGTAAAACAAATGCCAAAGTTTCCTCACTGCTATCACCTTCTCTCAGCTATAGCATCAGCAGACACAACAGAACAACGTTTCATCTTACCGCTGCTTTGGCTTCTGCCTGCTTGGCTTTTTTCAGGCGTGCTTTGCAGATGTCGAGATCCAGTCGCCGATTCTCCATTAGTCGCCTCTCTTTCTAAAAAGGGGACAGGAAGCATCCAATCAGAAACCAGGGACCTGCTACAGAAAACAATCTTTGAAAAACTAGGTTTCTATTCAGCTAACAGCACAGTGAAGCTCTCTACAAAAATAAGCTCCAAATCTGTTTTATTGAACAAGTGAAAGTGATGTCCATGGCAGCATACCATCATATACTCCTGCTGTTTCTGTTGGGGTTCATACCAACACAATGTCTAACAGTATAGTATAGAGGAAGTCTTACTGATATAGTCCTCCAGTCTCCTTCCAGGAAGTTCCGTAGAGGAGTGAGGAAGGTGGCAGCTGAGGTTTGGAGGAGCTCACGCTCAGCCCCGCCGAGTCTCTTCTGGTACTCCCCCACTGTGATTAGGGTGCTGCCTGCACATACACACATGCACACACCTATTACAAATTATGTCAAATCAGACCAACAGATGTTTTGGTTGCCTAGAGTAACTAAAAGAGCTGGATAACAGTAAAGATCCGGCAGTGGCTCAGTCAGTAGGGGCTTGGACTGTGAGCCGTAGGGTTGCCGGTTCAAGTCCCCGACCAGACCTAAATATGGAGTGTGGACTGCTACTTGGAGAGGTCCCAGTTCACCTCCTGCCCTGCCGTGGTGCCCTTGAGCAAGGCACCGGACAACCCCCCCCACCCGCCTCACTCCCATTGCTCCCCGGGCGCTGTACACTAGCTGCCCACTGCTCCTAGTACTAGACTCCTGGTACTAGGATGGGTTAAAAGCAGAGAACACATTTCACTGTGTGCTGTTTGCTCTGCATGTGACCATTAAAGAGGGTTTTCATCCCTCCAATTCTATCTATCTTCTAATGTAACCGAGCTGCTGCTGGCCACGCCCCTTTGGAGCGTCTGCATGCAAGCAGTGAGCTCTGTGAAGAGAAGGCTGTCTACCAGCAGAAACTCAGCTAAACGCTGCAGTGATTTAACGCCATATTAGGTTCCAAACCACATCAAGCATTATTTCTGAAACAGTATGGAGCTCAAAAGCTTTCTCTCTCACAGGTTTACCACAAGGCAGTGGCGAGCCGTGACTTTTATACCTAGGCCCTCTGACCCCCTCCCCTTACCTCAAAAAGAGTTATTACGTCACAGCGTATACTTCAGCGGAATATCAAAACCACGGCACGGGGTGCAAAACGCATCAATGACAGGCTGTGGTGTCATTGACAGCGACCCTCTACCACACAAAACAACACCTGCAAATAACCCAATTTGTGTTCTTTGAAATTGAAAAGGATATTGCATTGTGTTTGTTACTTTCGTTGCAGTTGTATGTTTTAAGTGTAATTTGGCTTGGATTCCTATTTTGTATGGACATGCTTTTATTTTGAAGGCGAGTTTACGCTGTTGACAGGAAGTTGTTGTTGCTATGGAAACAAGAAAAGCTTCACAGCGGGCGGAACTTGTCATAAAGTCCGCGATAATAAAACCCACCCATTTAGAGGGAAGATATGATTGGTCAATTGTAGGGTCAATTGTACTGTCATTTGACATTACTCTCTCCTTCAGTTACTGTAGCGGGCCCTCCGTGAATGTACAGCAGGACCACCAATCAGCTCCTGTCTTCACAGTAACTCGCAGAGACGGCTAAAAGGAGCTTCTTTCATTTAACCCTTCACATTCAAACAGAAACTGAATAGGCAGATTCGAAGGATTTATTTATTTGGAAATGTTATTTTAAATACAATTAAATCAAGTTATTTTGGTAAAACTAATGAAAAATATATATTTTTTTAATGTTTTTAAATATTATTTTGTAGAATATCTTAGGCCCTCAGAGAGGGCCTAGAGGGCCCTAACGGCTCGCCACTGCCATAAGGTGAGTGAGTACCTTTCATATCCAGCTTCTTTACACATATTCTCTCCAGTACAGTGTTAGCTCTGAGTGTTAGCGATGCTTGCTAATGTAAACACAGACCATGGGTCGATCTCAAGTTACTTATTCATCATTTCCTCGCTCCTCGCTCTCACCGGAAGTAGATTTTTCTGCACCATCTTGAGGAGCGTTCCATGGCGCTTATTAGTGCCAGAGGACCGAGGATCGAGGATTGAGTTTATACAGTGTTTTTTTTCAATTCATGTATCATCTAGTTAAAAATATGCGATATATCTGAACAACAAAGTGGACAAAAATCATTGTATTAATTTATTGGAATTTTTTTTCCTGATCTCCAATTCATTTTTATTATGAACACAATAACAGGAACAGCTATTTTCGTTTTACATTTTTATTTATTGTCATTTCCATTCAGTCACAGCTGAGACATGAATTACGTGATTTGGCTCAGTTTAACAGCCAACACAAGTGTAGTGCCGTTACTTCATGTTATTTTTATGCCTACAACAATACCGTTACGATAACGCAACCTCTGTTCACGTTTATTTAGCCCACAATATTTCTGTTATGCTTTCTCTTCTCTCAATTATTTTCTTTCTATTGCGCACTCAAAGAAATATTAAACTAGTGTTTGTTTATACATTTTAAGAATGGCTTTTATCTGTTTTTGAAAATGAGTTCTTATTTTATTTTTATTTATTTGGGTCTACAACAGCAGGTGAGGAGGGGGGGATTGTTTGTGTGTGTCAGACGATCAGCTGTGCGGCGTCATCACAAACGGACGTCGCTTCACGTGACGCTCCGAGGAAAGGACGTCTCAATGCTCTTAAAACACATTTCCTTGCTTCTTCTCACTTCTCGTGGTTTCCTTGCGTCTCTCCATGCATCCCTGGTGGGAGGGACTAAGACGCAAGTGAGGGACGCAGGGATGGAAGTTAAGAGAAGTGAGACGCAGCTCATATTACTTCCAAAATGCGTCACGCATTGTTTCGGACACAGCAACGTTTCTGATAGGGAATGATAGGTTGGGACGTGGGCGGGACATTTCCAGGAGTTCAACGTAAAGCCAGCCCACATTTTAGTAATGTAGTCATGACCGCAGCAAATCTGGATCAGCTCCGTTGTACCTCCATTTTTAGAGATGTGGGTAAGGAGGGTTGTATCTTCTGACACTTTGTGAGTCTCCTTACACACCGGGGACACATATTTATGTATAAAAGACATCATTCCATAATAGGTGACCTTTAACAACTATCAAGTACTTCATGAACACAAAGCACACATACGAGCAGCAACATGAGTTTGAGTGGCAGCACACTGACCGTACGGGGTCCCGGGGCCAAACTCGCTGGCGGCCTCCAGCATGTACTGGCCCAGCAGCTCAGGGTTGGTGGCTCTGGAGGGGAGCTTCTTATCCAGCTTATCATAGATGAACTCCTCTATCCGAGCACCTGGAGGAAAGGGTATAGAGATCATTGTGAGACTGAACACATAAGGTGAAACATTCAGACTCAGAATAGAGCGAAGTTGCATGATAAAGTGCAGAATGGTTTGTTCTTCCAATGGCTTGGGTCCATTAAAATATCAGTTGTATTAAAACATTTCTATTTACTATACATTAAAATGAGGTGCTGGTGTTGGAGGCAGAGTGTCCTAAGAAGGGTCCTTGAGGCTTAAAAAGAGGGCTTAATGCAACATGACAGAATGCTGAATTCAGCATTCCCATGAATGTGTCCATGCCCAGCCTTTATTTTATGCTAGCCTTTATAAGATATTAATATTAGTGATACTAGCACAGCTTATTTTTAGAATGTAACCATGAAGGCAGTGTTGGCTGCAGCCAATCAGAAAGCGTTTACAGGTGTCTTCCTGCTCATCAGTAATTCAACTTCATTTCTCTCACATACACATCTACATATACACTTCACCTGTCCCGTTACCAATCAATGGCAAAATGAAAAAGGTTCTTATTTATGGGTTAACTATCATTTTCGTGTTGACAGGTGAAACAGTATGTTTTGTAAATGAAGGCTGGGCGCCACGCTGCAGGTCTATATGCCACAGTGAGCTGCACTCATTGAGGAAGGGAGTGTCCTCACACAGCAGACTTACCTGTGTGGTCCACTGAAGCATGGAGGTGAAAAAACACAAAGATCAAAGTTAGACATTACAGAGAGCCATGCTACTACAGTCTGTCACAGTTTAATGTAGCACCATGACTATGGTGTTCTTTTTGTGCCTCTATCCTGAGCACGCAATGAAACATTTTGAGCATAGAAAATGTTATTGAGCGCGCAATTTAACATTTTTGAGCACAGAAAAATATATTTTGCAAGCACAATTGACTCTAAGCCCTCTCACAAACTCCTGCTCCGTGCGCAAGCAGACCGCTGCACGCGCTCTCCCTCCCTCTCTCCCCCTCGCTCAACCTCTCCACCCTGTGCGCGCGCTCAGGTCTGCCTGCGTGCTCGCTCAAGTTGGCACAGCGTTACAAATGTGCCACAAAACCAACCAATCGGAGAACTCGAGAAGGTCAATTCTGATTGGCTGTTTCGTCTCCAATCATATCTTCTATCTGAGATACGGAAAGAGAGGGATTTTAGGTTGCCATCAAGTTTGGCCAGTATAATACATTTCTAATGTTAAATAAATGAAAACCATTCACAGTTAAGAATTAGATATCAATTATTAATGACATAAATGATTGCATACATTTACAGTTTCTTATTTATCCAGTATGATAGATTATGAGCTACGTACGGCTACCAAAGTATAGGGCATTTGACACGTTTCGCAAAGAAGTAAAAAAACGACAAAAAAAAACGACCACATTCATCTGAAGGAGAGAGAGGAGTTATTGTCATTACAATGTCATTCCACCATTATCTGAGAAGAAATCCTTTTAGTGGGTTAAGTACATTCTTAGATTAAGTGAGAAATGGATTTCACTTATGTTTGACAGCTATCATACTGGAGAAATAAGAAACTGTAAATATGCAATCATTTATGTCATTAATAATGAATATCTAATTCTTAACTGTGAATGGTTTTCATTTATTTAACATTAGACATGTATTAGTCTGGCCACACTTGATGGCAACCTAAAATCCCTCTCTTTCCGTATCTCAGATATAGAAGATATGATTGGAGACAAAACAGCCAATCAGAATTGACCTTCTCGAGTTCTCCGATTGGTTGGTTTTGTGGCACATTTGTAACGCTGTGCCAACTTGATAATAATGATGTTAAAATATATAAAAGTAAAATAAAAGCACGGTTAAAAAAACACAATATTAATAACATATTAAAAGCAGATCTGAGAAGGAGATGTATATGTTGTGATTTGATCACAAATATGAATTCCATGAGGATGGAAAATTATCAAATCAAACAAATAATCATTTTGTTATTGTTTTGTACATTACATACACCACACCAGGTGTAGCCTGAGTTTCACGGCTGTATTTCCACTCTTACTCGGGTTGGGCTGCAGCAGCGCCTCGGTCTGTCTCAGGATCTTCTCGGTCCAGTTCTTGGTGCTGTCGGCCCGGCTGATCAGGTTCTCCAGGTGAGGGTCCAGCTCCGTCTTCTCAGCCTGGCCCAGCTTCTCCTCTGTGAACTGAGAGACACACACACAGGTTTAAGCTTCTTCCTGCGGGCTGGAGGGGTTGACCCTAAGTGTAGAACTAAGCGTTTAAAAACAGCTTTGTTCCAGCAGCCATTGCACAAGTTAATAGGTCGTAGCAGCGTCGCACAGATGCTATGGAAGCAATTTGTATTTATGTATTTATTAATCAACTTTCTTGATGGCTCATGTTTGTACAAGTGGTTTTTAAATGTTTATAAATATGATGGAGCAGGAAGTACTTTTTTCAGAGATTTGTCTGTTGTCTGTTAGTTTAGGTCCAAAAGGGTAAACCTTGCATTATCATTAAGAGAGAGACACAAAATATTTTGTGGAGCAGGGTTTTGTACATGATCTGTTTGGTTTTGATTGGGAAAGAATCGATCTGTGTGCTGATGTTGAAACTGCAGGTCTTATTTTTATCTTGGTTTTATGGAAATTATTGATAGACATGCACCCCTGCGTACATTTAGAGTAAAGGGACGAGACAATCCTTGGTTTTCTGCTGAACTGTCCAGTCTCCTACATGAGAGAAACAAGGCCTGGGCAAAGGCTAGGAAATCAGGCTCAGAGGTAGAATGGCTACACTTTAGGCAGCTAAGGAATAGCTTCACATCACAAATCAAAAGTGCTAAGTCTAAGTATTATCTGTCAGTTACCACAAAGAACCTGAATAATCCTAGAACATTTTGGAAAGCCATAAAATTGATATCCACCGGTGAAATCCGTAATGAGCTACCTCCGTGCCTTACCACAGCATCTAACAATGACATCCTGTCTAAACATCAGTCAGGCTTCAGAAAGCAACATAGCACCATCACTGCCACAATGAAAGTGGTGAATGATATTGCTAATATCTTAGATAAAAAGCAGAGTTGTGCAGCTCTATTTATTGACCTTTCCAAAGCGTTTGACACCGTCGATCATCGCATCTTAAAGCAGAGGCTACTCAGTATTGGCATATCCAGCCATGCAGTGGGGTGGTTTGTGAACTACCTCTCTGAAAGGTCCCAATGTGTTCACTTTGATGGGCTGTCTTCTGAGTGGTTAAACATTACAAATGGTGTTCCTCAAGGTTCTGTTTTAGGTCCACTTTTATTCTCCATCTATATCAACAGTTTAGGTGAAAATGTGGATGAAGCAACTTTACATGTTTATGCGGATGATACCGTGATGTACTGTGCAGGTCCCTCCATTAAGGAGGCTGTTGTTAAATTACAGGCTGTTTTTAATATTATCCAGACTCAGCTCTCTGAGCTTAAGCTTCTTTTAAATGTGGATAAAACTAAGGTAATGCTATTTTCAAAAGCCAAAAAGACACCGGAGACCACTTTGGATATTGTTACTACGCAAGGAAAAGTACTTGAAGTGGTTACCTGTTATAAATACCTTGGTATCTGGCTTGATGATTGTCTCTCTTTTAAACCTCAGGTCATTAATCTGCTTAGAAAGCTGAGGGTGAAGCTAGGTTTCTTTTTCAGAAACAAGTCCTGTTTCTCATTTGAAGCCAGGAAAAGGCTCTGTGACCTTTTGACCTGTGCTGGACTATGGTGATTTGATCTATATGAATGCACCTGCCCATTACCTGATCAAGTTAGATGCCGCCTATCACAGTGCACTGAGATTTGTTACAAACTGTAAAGCACTTACTCATCACTGTACCCTGTATGCCATGGCAGGTCTGCCTCCACTTATGGCGCATTTCCACTACACAGCCTCGCTCGGTATGGCGAGGCCTCGTTATGCCTTGTTAGGACTGGCTCACTTTATGCTGCGCTTCCATTACAGTTTGGGAACTGGGGTAGTATCTATAGTAACGCAGTGTAGGCGGAGCCGTGACGTCATCTTCAATGAGAACCCCAGAAAACCAACATCAGCCGTTAGCTGTTAGCACTCAGAGCTCACAGCTCCTCATATCTGTTCAGAAACTAGACAAAAGTTAAACAAGTACAAACCACAGACTGCCTGTGTCATGGTGAATACAGTCGCTGGTTTATTTATGTCTGTATAGGCCGTTGTTGTGAGTGTGGACGGTCGGAGTATATACTGCGTTAGCTTAGCCAATCTCCATTTAGACAACGCGCATTTTAAAAGGTTTTTCGCCTGCCGTCTGTCTGCAGACTTGTCAAAGCATTAATTCATGGTTTTTACTAACCGGTATCAGTATGTTGTTACTTCGGCATCATTTTGAAACGTGTATTACAATTAAATCACGGTCAAATATGTTCATCTTGTTGTAGTTGTAGCCCCCTTGCCAGCGATTCTCTCTCTAGTTTAGCATACTCAGCCCGACTCAGCCTGGTTGTTGGCCCGGATAGAACCACGATTTTGTCGGGCCAGAAAAAAGGTGAAAAAGTGGCATAGGCATAGCACTAGGCATAGTGGAAACGCAACCAAAAACGGGCCCGGCACGACACGGCACGCTTAAACCGCGCTCCGCGCCATGGTGGAAATGCGCCATTACTGTTCAGAGGCTCAGTCATAAAGCCATGATGCTAACTACCATCGTATATCTGCTCACTGATATCACAGAGAGTCGCAAGTAGCTATTGCCTAAGATCCCAGGATGTGTTTTTATTACATGTACCAAGTGCTAGGACTGTTTTAGGCACTAAAGCTTTTATGTGCGCAGCTCCTCTAGCTTGGAACACTCTGCAAAACATTTTGAAAATGAGCATTTTGGTTCCCCTGCGTCATTTTAAAGCTCAGCTGGATGAAATGATATTTGATACTCCTGGTACCTGTCTTTGTGAATAGATTTGTAAATTGTACCCCTGTCATTATGTTGTATGTGTCCTTTTGTTTTCTGTTGTATTTCTGTTACATGTGTAACCAACGTGCCGCAGGTCTCCCTTGAAAAATAGATCGTTGATCTCAATGGGATTTCACCTGGATAAATAAAGGCTACAAACAAACAAACAAGAGGTGGGAAGTAACAAGTACAATTTGGAGGTACTGTAGTTGTACTTTACTCTAGTATTTCCATGTATTGCTACTTTATACTTCTACTCCACTACATTTAAAAGGGAAATATTGTAATTTTACTCCACTACATTTATTTAATAGCTTTAGTCACTTTTAACAAAATGAATCTCTTAAAATTAAACTAGTGGACTAACTCTTTGAGTCACAAAAGAGTCAAATTATTGAAATACTTTACATCAGAACTTTGTTTGTCTATGTTGGAGTTATATATTGCTTTATATTATTCAATATTTAAACATTTGTTTTCTTGCTGTTTTGTTTATAGTAAATGTATTATTATTCATTGTTATTATTTAAATTAGACGTTTTTATTCTTTTATTTTGAAGGCAACTTTGGGCACTGGGTGCATGTGTTGTGGGTTGTATATATTGGAGACAGGTGGTGGTGGGATAAGCGCACCAGTATGGTATATGTTCTTTTTACCAGGGAAAACACAAAGGGCAAAGGGCAAGATATAGGAAATGGTCAAATGTATTTTGGTGATGTTTGATCATGTGTTTGTGAACACACACAAACACACCTCCACCCCTCAAAGACTGTAACCAATATTTATGAACATTTATGGATATATATATTTCAATTTTTTATTTGTAGCATTTATGGTTATTTTTTGCATCTATTTATAAACATGGTTATATTTAAACTTTTGTAGTTTTGTATATTAAAAGTTTATAGCCTGTAATATTGGTAAATATGTACATTTACATGTAATGTAATTATTGCAGTGCATTGTCATTGCTGTTTCCTCTGCTTTCATTGATTTGAGTCTATTGCTATTACTGCAGTTAGAGATATACCCATGTACGATGACAATAACGATGTTCTGATTCTACTCTGGGTCTTGCTACAGGCATGGAGGAATAGACATGGATAAAGACAGTAAATATCATCAGAAAGCAGAACTGTTCGGCTGTACAGAGCTATCATCTGTTGTTGTTGCTCCCTCAGTATGACTATGGATCAGCCGCGGCGCCAGGATTTCAATTGTGGGTGGGCCAATGTAATTTCGGCTGGGCCTGTTCTAATAGATGTTTCTCGTTAACAAAAATGCATACCTGCCAACCCTACCGATTTGGGCGGTAGTCTACCGCTTTTGACATGTTTCTACCGCCTACCGATTTAGCTGACTCTCCCTACCGATTTTCAATCTTCCCAAACTATAACAAATAAAAATGACACTACATAGACACTGGACTCGACTTTTGGCGGACACCGTTTGCAGCGTGTCTGTGATCCCATCATACAAACAGTCCTCTGTGTTTCAGTCGATCGCGAGATGTGTCTAAAAATAGAACAACATTATTCTGTTTTATCGTTAATGTCCTATAACATAATCTTCCTGTGCCAGACTAATGCACTTGAACGCATCAAAGCTTTGTGATTGGCGTGACCCCATGTATCGGGGCGTGGCTGGTAGGCAGTGGGCACTAGTTTGCTGTGCAGTCCGCACACACAAGACCACAATTATGGCAGAAGCAAAAGAGCCCAAAATATATAATTTTCACTGAGTGGGAGGATGATTCTTTTTGTATCTATTCCAATTCAAAGTCTATCTGTCTCATCTGCAATGCGAGCGTGGCTTTATCGAAGAAGGGTAATTTAGGAGCGGCATTTCAAAACAGTGCACAAACGCTACGAGACGGAATTCCCTCCTAATTCTGCCCTACGCTCCCAAAAGGTGAGGGACCTGAAAGGACAGCTAAATGCACAGCAGTCCATTTTCACCAGGCCCAACAACAAGAGCAAGGCTGCTACCATAGCATCTTATCGTGTCAGTCACGTTCTTGCGAAACACATGAAGTCTTTCAAAGACGGCGACGTTGTGAAAGAAGCATTCCTGGAGGCTGCCGACACGCTTTTTGGGGACAGTAAAAATAACAGTAGCATTTCAACAGGTTTTTGATATAATAAAAACTCAAGTTAGATACCGTTATTAATCAGCTGTAAGTTTTAGTTTGTTTGAACTTATTCATTATAATTATTGTACAAAATGGTATAAGAATGC